CAATATCCCCTGATGCAGCACCAACAGCCTCAGAATTATCAAGAGAGGCAACCCAGGGCTCAAATGCAGCAGCCACCACTGCTGTCTCTGGGGCAAGACATGCATGCAGCAAGGGGCTTCAGATCAACCCAGGGCTCAAATGCACAGCTTTGGGTTGAGAGGGACCAGGGATGCAGCTCCAGGAAGTAGTGCTAAAAAGCCATAGCCATAGATGAGTCCACAGTCACCCATACAGAAGCCCAAGGCAAAGGCCCCTCCAGAAGTCTCCATGTTAACTGTCTTCTGGAAGGTTCTATGAGCTGTTGGTCCCTTGGACCCTTCTGGTTGAGAAGCAATGTCCACATGTGTTATAACCCCTGACCATATAGGTTATAGTGTTCTGGAAAACCCTGATCTAAAGCACGGAGTGAAAAATGAACAAGCACAAAGGTAGCAAGAGTATCCCTACAATCACAAGAGTTGCAAAATCTGAAAGCAGTTTCTTCTTCAGAAGAAGGGACTCTTGCCCAGCCCCTGCTCCAGGCTCCATTGTTCCCCCAGAAATAAGATATCCAAAAAGAAGTACAAGAGTACAAGGAGCCCCACAGCAGCTGCTTTTGGAAAGGAGGTCTGATGGCTGCTATCGCAAAGCTCTCAACTCCACAGACCTAAGCAGTATCTCCAGGACGTGGAGCATGTCTTGCCATAGTTCAGCTCTATCTCCCAGCAGCCAGCCCCACCGAAGAAACTCTGACGGAAGGGCATTGTGTAACAGCATCCGCCTGGCCTCCATACATCTTACAGGCAGCGCTATTAAAGGCAGGAGCTGAGTTCGCCAGCTGCTGCATCTGTGGGTAAAGTGTGGCTAGGTCTTCGGGGAGCCACGCCAATGTCTTCTGTGCTATCCTACGAGAGCCTGGTCCACACCGTGGCCGGAGCCGTGGCAAGTGTGACAGCAATGACAGTATTTTTTCCCTTGGATACAGCTAGACTTCAACTTCAGGTTGATGAGAAAAGAAAGTCCAAAACTACACACATGGTGCTTCTGGAGATCATTAAAGAAGGCCTCCTGGCACCATGTCGAGGGTGGTTTCCAGTCATTTCCAGTCTTTGCTGCTCCAATTTTGTCTATTTCTACACTTTTAATAGCCTCAAAGCAGTCTGGGTCAAAGGTCAACGTTCTACTACTGGGAAAGATCTGGTAGTTGGATTTGTTGCAGGAGTGGTGAATGTGTTGCTAACAACTCCACTGTGGGTGGTAAACACTAGGCTGAAGCTGCAAGGAGCAAAATTTAGGAATGAAGACATTGTACCCACCAACTACAAAGGTATTATTGATGCTTTTCACTAGGTCATTCGAGATGAAGGAATCTTGGCTTTATGGAATGGCACATTTCCCTCCTTGCTGTTGGTCTTCAATCCTGCCATCCAATTCATGTTCTATGAAGGTTTAAAACGGCAGCTTTTGAAGAAACAGATGAAGCTTTCTTCTTTGGATGTATTTATCATTGGTGCAATAGCCAAAGCGATTGCCACCACAGTCACCTATCCCATGCAGACGATACAGTCAATTCTGAGGTTTGGACGTCACAGACTAAACCCAGAAAACAGAACATTGGGAAGTCTTCGAATTGTTCTCTATCTTCTTCACCAACGAGTAAGGCATTTTGGAATAATGGGACTCTACAAAGGCCTTGAAGCCAAACTGCTGCAGACAGTACTCACTGCTGCTCTCATGTTCCTTGTTTATGAGAAACTGACAGCTGCTACCTTCACAGTTATGGGGCTGAAGAGGGCAGGCAAGCACTGACACGCCTCCCAGTGGGAAGTATGGAAGATGCTGGAGATGGGGAGTTCCCTTCTGAGCAAAGAGAAGTGATTTTCCTTTTACTCTGACTCCCTCCACCACAAATTTTACCCTCACTGGCTTGAAAGGCATCTAAGGGTAAACGGGTAGTATAGCCAGCTGAGACTGTTGCCACTTTAGTTTTTATAATGGCTAGTTGGATTTTGGGGTGGTGGTTGGACTAATATAAAAAGAAAACATTATTGAAAACCTAAAAATGAAAGTTTGTGGAGGTTTATTGATTTTCTCAAGGGGAATGGACAGCTTTGCTCTCGTGTGTAATCTTTCAATTTTTCTTTTTCTTTTTCTTTTTTTTTTTTTTTGAGAGAGAGGGTCTCACTGTGTTGCCCAGGCTAGAGTGCCGTGGCGTCAGCCCAGCTCACAGCAACCTCAAACTCCTGGGCTCAAGCGATCCTCCTGCCTCAGCCTCCCGAGTAGCTGGGACTACAGGCATGCGCCACCATGCCCGGTTAATTTTTTTCTATATATTTTTAGTTCTCCAATTAATTTCTTTCTATTTTTAGTAGAGACGGGGTCTCGTTTTTGCTCAGGCTGGTCTCGAACTCCTGAGCTCAAACAATCCGCCCGCCTCAGCCTCCCTGAGTGCTAGGATTACAGGCGTGAGCCACCACGCCTGGCCCAATTTTTCTTAAATATACCACCTGTTCTCTTTCCCTGAACCCTTCCCTAGGTTTTAGGACAAACTTAATAACATGTAGTTCTCCTCAGATATTTTTGTATATCTTAATCTTGGTATTTTCCTCACTAAAAATAATATTATGACTGTGCCATGGGTATGACTTTATTTTTGTTGGGCTTTTTTTTCTCCTGCTTAAGGACAGATGTCTTTTTTAGTATATGAGCTGTTTATTTTGTGGGGAAATGAAAATTATTAATCTCAAATGATTCTCTTATAAACTATTTATAAATGTCATTTATTCATTAGTGTTTGACATTATTTTTAAAATATTTGTTTTGAATCAACTCTTTGGTTACAAAAGGCTTGAGGTTTTATGTCCATCCATACAGGCGCCAATCAGTCAAGCCCCAATAAATTGTCAGCACAGAAGACATTCTTGAAAAGTTGCTCTCTATTAAGGCACTACATTGGGTTTGCAACCAGATGGTAAAAATCATAAAACTCCGGGATATTATCTCCCTTTATAAACTCTTGGCATAGGATGTATATTTTAAGAATAAACATCTGATTGAGGTTAAAAAAATAATAAAAAATAAATAAATAAAGGCAGGAGCTGATTCCGGACATGACGACTCCACCAGCCAGTATGTTCTCTGGGTAGCCACTTGGGCCTCCACCACCCCGCCAGGACTCCCAGGCCAGGATTTGCTTCTTTGGGCAGCGCCAGGCACTCCAAAACCTTCTAACAGTACTTTGGTGAACAAGTTGGAGTCATCTTTTGAGGCCTGTTTTGCTTCTCTGGTCAGGACTGCATCAATGGCACTGATCATGAAGAAATTCGAACTGGTGTTGATCAGTGTATCCAGAAATTTCTAGATATTGCAAGACAGACAGAATGGTTTTTTCCTACAAAAAAGATTGCAGTTATCTGTCCAGAACAAGTTATCAAAGAAGATGTCTTAGAGCTAAGGAATGAATTACAGCGGAAAGATGTGCTGGTCCAGACGCATTTGACAAAGCTGCCTTGGCAGCAGGTGCTGAAGGACATCAGTGTGCAGCACAGAAAGCCAGTGGACGTCCCACAGGTCTTGACTTGCCTAGAACAGGCGTCAGCCACTATCCCCGCACCTCTGATGCTGACCTGAGGGAGAGGGCAACAGCAGCAGCCTGAGAGCGTGCCAGTGTGTGAGGCAGCTTCGGACAGTTTGCCACACACTTTGCATGATACTTACAGATTGTCAGCTTTTTAAATTTTTGTATGAGTTTTCATCCATGTTTCCAGCTGTTAGGTTAGTTTGTTCTATCTGAGGGAAAAAATGATCATAGTCTGAAAATAGGGATGAGGATTTAGCTTATAGGCCTTTTATGGTAATTGCCCCACAATGGTAGTGTAGAAAAATAGGTAAATCTGTCTTTAAACTCTGAACTACCTCAAGAAGAGGAATCTAATGCAACAATGTTTATAATGCATCCAGAACTTTCTGAGGATATTTTGTAAATAGGTAGGAAGAGGATTAAAATATCCTGGGTTAGGCTGGTCCGAAAGTAATGATTTATCTCACTTGATTGTTCACAGTAAGTTACTGATTGAACTCCTTGTTCTACTACTTCCCCCTTTCTCACTACTGCACTTGAAAATCTGTATATTAAAAAAAAAAAAAAAATCCTGGGTTAGTGTAGTAATAGTACAGTAGACTCCCCAGGCTATTATTGCTTTTATTTGGGATAAGTTGATATTTTGTGTGGTGTTTATTTACTTTTTTTGATGAGGGATGTAGTAGGAACAGTGATATGCTTAATTTTGTTGCGTTCTGTGGTAATGAATCAGTGTAAATAATACGGCAGACTATGTCTTAGAACCATGACAGTTGGGGCATAGGTGAAGCATGAGGCATTAAAGCTTTCTCTGGTTGTCTCAGTTTTGAGATTTTGCTTGTGTCGTTTTTGTTTTACATTTTGGGAGGGGAGATATTTTCCATTAAGGATGATTGTTGCTAATGGATTTGATCCCAGGGGACTGAGGTCAGAGAGTGTGGGGTGGGCTGCAGGGTGATCCTTGGCTACTTAACTTCCACAAAGAACATGTGATGTCTCCATGTTTGGGAAGATATTTTACTCTATTGTAGTTTCATAGGCCAGGCGCATTAACTCCATAGCACTTCAAGCAAAGAAAGCCTGAAGCAGGTGCTTACAGCAGGACTCCTGTTGGTAGCATGTGCTGGAATGGTGAGTGCCCAGGGAATATTGGGTGGGGCACTGATACCTGCTGCTACACTCCTGCTGGTTCCTGACTGGTTTCTTTCCCCTCCAGCTCTCAGTACTTCACTTTATTTTGCCACTTTTCATAGCCCTTGATGCACATCTTCTCTTTGCTTCATCCAGAATATGGAGCATCTTTCTAATGGCCTATTAGATCTAAAATGGAACTACTTTATTGGTTCTAATAACCATAGCCAAATGTTAGTTCCTCTATGGCTTTTATATCTAAAAGGTTCTGTGAATAGAATCAAAGACAACATTTGTTGATGAGACTAAAATACAAAGTTATATTTATTTTCAATAATGAAAACATAACAAAGTGGAATCAATCCACTAACTAAATCTAACACAATCCTTAGCACAAAACTATCCTCAATAAAAACACATTAACATTAATGGAGTAAGATTATTCTCAAGAGTAATGTGTGTGTTTTAAACAAAACTGAGTGGTAGGTAAAGAAACACATGCTAGAGACTTGACTGAGAAGTGCTCAAGGAAAAGAACAGCCAAGGAGGAGCAGGGTCCTCAAATATTACATTAGCAAAATGAATATGGGATTTTCAAAGCAGTCTAGAAATCAGAGCTCACTAGGCAAGGGGCAAAGGTTTGAGATAATTCACACTCAAGGCATTGTAATTAAACCTCCTATTTCTAGATTCTTGATTTGGAATCCATCACAATCTAGAGAAGCTTCTGCCAAAGGATAGATTATTTATCCTGCCTGAACAGACCTATGCCTCTTAATTTTCCTCCTTTGACTCTGTCACTAACTCCTGTCACCAATATAGCAAGGGCTCCATTCCAACAAGGGATCACAAATATGTGGACAAACCCCTCTGGTTTAGATTTTCCTTTCATAGACACATTGATACTTGTAGGGATAGTGCTAAATATATCCAATTTCTTTTCTTTTTATCCTCCTACACAACTCTGCTTGGCTACAAAATATAGGACTCACAGAGCAACAGCAACACTGATCAGTAGATAAGTCTCAGGTCCAATGTAAGTACTCCCTAAAGTTCAATGGTCACAATTTTTTTTTTTTTTTTTACCGCCTCACCTGGCACAATTATTTCTCCCGCATTATCTTGCTAATTATTTCTTTCGAAATTCAATCCTCCGAGCTACATTCTGAGCACCAAATTTTTTGACCAATGCATTTCTGGTATCCTCATCATCTTTTTGCAAATCTATGTCATCCTGCCGGGACCAAATGGGGTATCCATCAGCCCTCTGACCAGATGCTAAAAAGGAGGAAGTAGCCTCCAGCTCACCACTATTTTTTAGGAAGGCCTGTGTAACTGTTGATAGATCCAAGTTAAACTTTTCCATTAACTGCCGGATGATCTTAATGGCAGCTCCCACCTCTGGTGGAGAAGCTTTTTCTTCTTCTTCTTCTTCCTCATCAGGCTGCGTTTCTGAGTCTTCCTCAGGTGTGGGTGGATCATCATCACACATTGTTATATGTATTTCAAAATCAGGGCTTTCATCCACCTAGAGAAAACGATGAGTGAGACTTGAACTCTGGCAGTATCTTATCTCTTCCAACTACCACCCCCTTGCCCTGTGCATTCCAATCACACTGGATTTCCTTCAGTTCCTCAGATATGCTTTGTTCTTTCTTACATTTATTCGTGTTGGATTTGTGTGAATACAAGTATATGTATATATACACGGGTGTGTATGTGGGAGGGTGGGGAGAGTGTGTGTATAGGTGGGGGGTGTACATATGTATGTGTGTGCTTATGTGTATATGTATGCATAATTTACTATGCTATTCCAACAGAATGTAAGAAGCTACACTGAATATGGAAAGTATATATGTATATGTGTGTACACATGTGTTTATTAGATTTATTTGTTAAATGTTTGACTTTACCCCCAGATTGTAAGTTCCATAAGGGCAGGAATCATATGTTTTGCTCATCACTCCATCTCCAGTGCCTTCCAATGCCCATACATAATAAGTACTCAAAAAAAATTGTCATATGAATATATAAGGGCTTCCAAGCTATACTACATTTACTCATGTGTGCCTACCTTTAGGCACACAACAAAGCATACTATATGAACAGAAACCTATTTAGGCCATGTTTGAGAGCTGTTGGGAGTGTTTGAAGTTTATGGAAAATGAACCAAATATCAAATAATAAAACAAAACACAGACTACAGCATGCAACAATCCTTAAATTCTTGCCAATTCCTGTGCATTCCTTCACTCAATTACACAAACTTTAAATTATTTCCCTCTTTTAGCCTAAAGCGTAACCATTTTTCTTTTGTTAATAAGAAAAGTTAACTTATAAGATTCTTTTTCTTGGAGAAGATACATACATATAGTTTTGACTTTTAAAAATATTATTTATCATCATTATTTTATGGCTCCTGCCTTTCTTGAACTGCTGACCTCAGCGATTGTCCCACTTCGGCCTCCCAGAGTGCTAGGATTACAGGCATGAGCCACCACACCTGGCCTATACTGTTTATATAAAACTGCCCCTATTCTGCCCAATTTTTCTCCCTTTCCCTCTCAAGTTGTCTTGCCAAAAACTAAAAGGTTTGTGAAGCAGAGCTTCAGGTCAACATGCCCGAAGCCCAGATCAGTCCCACTTTCTGCCTTCTTCCATCTTGAACTTCTCTCTTACCTTCCTAGGCCTCAGGTAGGTGAAAAGGGTGGATGGGATAACCAGATTCAAGAAGAATGAAGGTAGAGAAAAAAAGATGAGTAAATCTAGTTTACATACCACAACCTCCTCAAACTCCCGGGTTGCTTCTACAAGCATCTTTTTGACTGCTTCTTCATTCTCCTTGATCTCTTCCTTCACATATTCTTCTTCGGGCAAATCTGGAGTTCTCTTATTCTGTGGTTCTATTAAAGAGAAGAACAGCACAGACTAGCATTAGTCTCTTTTACATAAACCAAAAAATATAGTACATGCTGTGTGAGCTCTGGGCCAGGAGTGAGCCTGTACTTTCCTTTCTATTAGAAGATATCTGTTTTTGATTCGGAAGGGTAAGAAAAGCATAAGATATACATGTTCAATAATTTCTACACTTCTGAAAAGTACTATCCAAATATTGATAATATTCCTAGGTTCTGACATATAATATTCTTCCAGCTTAATTCATTTTTTGCTTTGTATTTACAGATTTTGCAGATTAACAAATATGTGTCATAAACAGGCTTCTCTGGGAAGCAGATTCTGAGATGGAGATTAACACTTAAAGAGTTTATTAGGGAGTGCTCTTGGGAAAACATTCATGGCAGAGATGAAAAGCAGGAGTGGACATAGAGATAAGTTGAGTTGTGGAAGAGCACCAGCCAAAAGCCTCAGCCAAAACCACAAGGAACTCTGGTGCTGGGAACGCCCTTCAGAGTTGACCAAGCTGGGTCAAAGGAACAGAGCCTTTGTAATGCCATACATTTTGGTTACTGGATGCTGGCAGCCCTAAGATAGGACGAGGCAGCTCTCCCAGCAGCTGAAGATAGACCTGGGTAGTGCACCACAATCCACCACACACCATCTACAAAAAGGAGGGGTCTCCTAAATGTAAACATTCTCCTGTTTCCGTCTTACATTTTGTTCTCTGAGGATTTAATTCTACTCCTTTCCTACTTACTAAAATTTACTACAAATGGGCATCAAGAGGGAGTTTTTTGTGATGGAACTGTTCTGTATCCTCATTTTGGTAGTGGTTACACAAATCTACTTATGTTAAAACATATATAACTGGAAAACAGTATGGCAGTTACTCAAAAAATTAAACATAAAATTATATGATCCATCAACTGCACTTCTAGGCACATACGTAAAAGAATTGAAAGCAGGGTCTCAGATAGTATACCCATGTTCACAGCAGCATTACTCACAACAGACAAAAGATGGAGACAACCCAAATTCCCACTGATAGAAGAATGAATAAACAAAATGTGTACACATACAATGGACTATTCCTTCTTAAAAAGGAATGAAATCATGACATGTGCTACAACATGGATGAAACTTGAAGATATTATGCTAAGTGAAATAAGCCAGATGCAAAAGGACAAATATTCCACTTATATGAGGTACCTGAAGATATTAAATTCACAGAGACAGAAAGTAGAAAGGTGGTTGCCAGGAGCTAGGGGGAAGGAGCAATGGGGAGTTAGTGTTTAACGGGTATGGAGTTTCAGTTTTAGGAAATGAGTAAGTTCTGAAGATGAATGGTGGTGATGGCTGCACAACAATGTGAATGTACTTAATGCTACCAAATTGAACACTTAAAAAACAGTTAAAATGGTAAATTCTCTTATATATATTTTAACACAATAAAAAATAAAATAATTGTATACCAAAAAGGGTCAATTTTACCAGATATAATTTTTAACATAAACTGAAAAAAGAAGCCTTATCTTTTACAGATACATGCTAAAATAGATAAAATATGATGCCTGGCATTTGCTTCAAAATAATCCAAGAAGTTGGGATGAAAGGTATAGATGAAAAAAACTGGCCATGAACTATAATCATCAAGCGGAGCTGGGCAGATGGTTACATGCAGTATAATTCATTATACTATTCTCATCTTTGTAAATGTTTTTTGTTATTGTTGTTTTGTTTGTTTGTTTGTTTTTTTGAGACAGAGTCTCACTCTGTTGCCCAGGCTAGAGCGCCCTTCAGCCTAGCTCACAGCAACCTCCAACTCCTGGGCTCAAGCGATCCTACCACCTCAGCCTCCCGAGTAGCTGGGACTACAGGCGTGCACCACCATGCCCAGCTAATTTTTTCTACATATACATTTTTAGTTGTCCAGATAATTTCTTTCTATTTTTAGTAGAGACGGGGTCTTGCTCTTGCTCAGGCTGGTCTCCAACTCCTGACCTTGAGCGATCCACCCACGTGGGCCTCCCAGAGTGCTAGGATTACAGGCGTGAGCCACCCGCCAGGCCTCATCTTTGTAAATGTTTGAAACTTTCCATAACAAAAAGTAAACAAATTATGGTTCATTCACATAATGGAATACCATGCAATCAATGACAAAAGAATGAGGCAAAGCTATGTGCAGAAACACAAAGACTTCAAGATAAATCATTAAGTTAAAAAAAAAAAAAGGAAACTGCAGAACTGATGTCTAGTGTGCTAGTATTACTGTGAGCAAAGAGGACCCACGACAGACAAAGGATAATAATGGTGGTTGCCTCTAGGAAAGGAACAAGGGGAAGGGATATGTAGCAAGGGGACTGACTTTCCATTATGTACCCTTTTGTACTCTTGAGTGTATCTGCAGGATAAATTCCTAGAAGCAAAACTGCCATATTTAAGGGAATATACCTTTTAAATGTTGTCAAGATATTGTCAAAATGCCCCCCAAAGAAATTGTACCAATTTCTATAAAAAATGTAGGAGTGTACTTGTTTTCCTTTACCTAACTTTGGATATTATCCATTATGGTAATCTTTGTCAATCTTATAGACAAAATATGACATTTCCTTGCTCTGATTTACTTTTTTAAAAAACAACTCCAACACACATATTTATTATCTTACACTTTCCATGGGTGAGAGGTCCAGGCATGGCTTATACTGATCCTCTGCTCCAGGTCTGATTTACTTTTATTTGATAACAGAATATTACTGCATTTGTTTATTGGCCATTTATTTATTTCCTCTTCTGGGAACTTTTTGTTCCATTTCCTTTACCCATTTTTCCTTTACCCAGTTTTCTTTTTACAGTGTTTAGGGCATTAAGGAATCTAAGTCTATTCCAATGCATTGAAAATATTTTTCCAGTTTGCCCTCTGACTTTATTTATCAGGAGAAAATTTTAATTTTTAAGTAATCAAATACTTTAATTTTTATACTTAAATATCTGATCATCAAAACATTACTTTGATGGGTAGGGTGAATACAGCTTAATTTTGTCCCAAGTTTCAAATGGCTTGCCGGTAGTCCCAACATCACTGGTTTAAAAGCAAGGTCCTACATGATAACGTCACCCATTCACATAGCCTTAACATTATCTGCTATAATCCTCCCTCACTCTCGCTTACTCCATTCTAGCCATATTGTTCTCTTTGTGGCTCCAAGAACACACTAGCCATACTCTCATCTCGGGGCCTTTGCCCTTGCAATTCCCTCTTCCTGGAACACTCTTCCCCACATATACACCTGGGTTGCTCTTTACTTTGGTCTCTCCTTAAACATCAGCTTATCAGAGTGAGCTTCCCTTATCATCCTACAAAAAACAACCTCCTCCCCAACCCTTACCCTAATTTATTTTTCTCTATAGCACTTACCACTGCCCAGCTAGCATGTTAAACTCCATGACCGCAGGGACTTTTATTTATTGTTATATCCCAGCAGGACAGCAGTTTCTGGCACTCAATAATCTGTTGAATGAATGAATCTTAAATGTCACTTTTACCAAAAACAAAATTTCTACTAAGCATACTGAACAGGACAAATAGATTTTACCTCCCCAGACTTCAACTGTTAAATGGAATAGTCACATAAGTTAGGCAAAAAAAAAAAAAAGGAAAGGGTGGGGGGGGAGGAGCATGCCTCTTTAAACAAAAGGGTCTGTCAGTTTAAGCTGTCAATACTAGTTGCATCAAAGGTAAAACATTTTAAGTGTCCTAACCATACTGAATCCCAACTCTCAATTTAACTGCGTTAAAAACTCAATTCACGTAAGCAAGACCAGGAAGACACTTTCCAACAAATGAGAACCTTCTTATGTGAATACGCAGACGATTAAACCAAAGCATGAAAACAAACAGGTATTGCACGACTTTAAACGGCTTACACTGAATCTACCTGAACATAAGAGAAATCTTTTCATAAAACGAGTCTCTGCACTCTCTCTGAAAAGATAAACAAGAAAACAAGAAGCCGGTTACCCTGTTGCCTATGGGTAAGAAAAGTGCGTAGCCGGTGGGCAGAAAGGGTGTGAGAGCATTTTCTATACACTCTTTCTGTGCCTTCTGAATACAGAAGCGTGTCAATATCCTAGTTACCGGGAGAGTCAATTAAAAAACGAGACAGCGAGGGAGGAGATGGTGCAACTGTACCCGGAAGTCAAAGGGGGCGGGGCCGAGCGATGCTACCCAAGACGCTGAAACGGACGCCGGACAGAGAGGAAAACATGTCCCCGCCACCACCGCACAAGTGTCCCCCCAGGACCCGCACGCGCGCAGCAGCAGGCCTCACCCCCGCTATCAGCAGCCTCCGGGTCTTGCTCGGCCTTCCGCTTCAGCTTCTGGGAGGACGGGCTCACCGGGGCGTCCCCCAACAGGTACTTATGCTCCTGGCCCCGCAGGTGCTTCAGGTAGCGGTCCTTCAGGGACTGCCACGAGTGCTGCGTGAGCGAGCTTTTCTCCATTGCTTTCCACAAGGCGTTGCCGGTGACGGAGCTGGGCGAGCGGGCATTCTCCTTCACGTAGGTCAGGATGGCCACGTCGTCCGCGTCCGTGAAGGCGATCCGCCCCGGGATCGGCTGCGGCTCAGGCTGCGCGGCGCGCTCAGCCAGAGCCCCGGGCTTTGTCTCTGGGGCCTGGTCGGCCGCCGAGGAAGAGCCCAGCCGATAGGCTTCGAGCTCGAGCTTCTCATTGCGCTCCACGCAGTCCAGGATGTATTGCGTGGAGATGAAGTCTCCCGAGGCCTCGGCCAACGCCTCCCCGGGCTGGGCCAGCAGCACGGCTCCGGGCTCCTGCACCCGGCACAGGGTGCCGCCGCCGTGCAGGATGAGCGTCGAGAGCCGGCGCTTAGCCGGGCTGGGCCGCACGTAGAAGGACATGGAGCTACCGTCCTCCCTCACGAACAGAGTTGAGGAATGAGTGGGCCCGTTGGGGTCCATCGCCTCCGCCATGTCTGACGCCAGGCACCAGGAGAGCTGCCCCCTCAACGAACGCCTGACACACGGAACTCTCGCCCTGTACGCCGATCAATGCGCCTGCGCAGCAACAGTCGCAGCGCTCCGGGAGCGCCCGCAGCTCGCCACCCCGGAAGAGGCGGGGCTTCGAACTCCGACCTGGAAATTAACGTGCTACTCCCTTTACTTTGGGGTCAGGCCCTCTTGGAAGATGGCGGCGGTGCAGGGAGCCGAGGTGAACGTGGATGGTGGTGAACCGAAACTGAGCAAGAAGTAAGTGTCGCCGGGAGTCATTAAAGGCTTTGTGGCATAAAAGTCCGAGCTGGGAAGCGCCTCAAGGTTCCCGCTGAGGCTGTGCAAGGGGCCTTCCTGCCGGCTCTCGTGAGTACGCACATGCTGGGACGGAGCCACTCAGTCCAGCAAACTACCTACCCACCGGGCCTCTGGCTCCCGGCTCCCAGCTGGTGCTGACGGGACACCCCCTATCGTACTCCTAGAGTAAGAGAATGGGGAGGAGAAGCTAACAGGAGAACTGAGCGGTGTCAGGAAAGGAAAGCGAAACTTACTGCTTCCCTTCTGAGAAATGCGTTCTTTCATTGAGCCAATCCACAATGAGGAGGTTGGAGAAATGTTAAATACCCTAGCTTTTCAGAAAAAGCTTGTAATTTTTCTTGGATTCACTAGGTCATTCTGAACCTTATGTATTAAAAGGGATCAGTTGTGAAACTGTCGTGCACCTACCCATAGGGGTGGGGTTATCCAAAGGATCTGTGAATGTTGAGTGATGAATCTCTAACAGTAGACACGATTTTATTCAGCCTGGTATCTTTGTTAACCATCCCAAACCCTTGGCTGTGTAGTTTGACATACATAAGTCAAGATTCACCGCCTTTTAGCTGGCTGTGTCTTATATTCTCGTTGGGATTCCTCACTTAAACCACAGAACACAGGCAATGATATGTTTGAGTTTTTTCTCAATGCCAGGAAGGATGGTATATAATTAGTACCATTCCAGAGGCATAGAGGAGACGTTATGCTATATACGATGGCTGCCTTAGTGCATTAGGGCTTAATCCTCTTGCTGAACTCTGAGAGAATTGCTCTAGGTGTCAGGGCTGATTTTTGAGGGGTGTTGTCCCAGTTCTTTGGCTCCTGGTTTGTAAAAATCTCAAGCAAGGGCCCATGCCACAGAGTGATGACAGACACTTAGCACTTCCACGCAAGCAGCTTTTATTGCAAGCTTTTCAGCTTAGAATAGCAAGTGAAAGTACATTTCCTGAGAGGACATGGATCTTTCTCCCTAGTGGAGAAGATGCGGGGATCTTACCACACTTTTATGTCTATACCTTATGATATGCTAATTGGTGGGTGGAATGTTCATTATTTTTCTGGGAAAAGGGTGGAGAGTTCTTAGAGCTAAGGGCCCTCCCCAATTTTATCCTTACACGTTTACTTCCAGGGGTTGCCATGACATTTGTAAACTGTCATGGCGCTGGTGGGTGTGATTTTTACTATGCTAATATATGTTAATAGGGAAAAGGTTACCTTCAGACATGAGCTCCTGCCCATGCTCCTGGCCCAGAAAAGTCCCTAACCTGAAGTTCCTGCTGTGGTGGGTTTGGTTCTAGATGCTCATTAGCCTCCTCATTTTTGCCCCCCTCCTCTTGTCCTGTGGTTAGCACTGCCAACCTGCACCTGTCCCTAGCATAAGCACTCAATGGGTAATAATTGACGTTTCTTTTTGTGTTTGTGACTTTATGCTTCAAATGTTTTAGAAAAATGATACAGGAAATGTCTAAATTTATGGTTTGATAGCACCCTAATATGTCGTCCTTTATTAGAGTGTTCTGATAGATTTCCATAAATGTTTGGAACTTGGTTTTTATACTTCTACCTTAGGGAAAATTGACTGGACTTTGATCTGTCACATCAAATTGAATTGAATTAAACATATCTGATTTACAGTCCTAAAGTTCAGTTCATTCTTTTAAACCGCCTTTGATAATCGAATTACAGTGAGTTGAATTTTAATACTGTAAGTCACAGATGAAAGCAAGGTTTCCACTTCACACTGAGATTTTAAGGTAAATTGAGAAAACTGGTTAATTCCTTTCCACTGACTTTTCTAAGATTAAATACAGCTGCTACTTTTTTGAATAGCTTATATGTGCCAGGCACAATGCCAGATCTCTACAAGCTTTCTGTCTAACCTCAATAATAACTTTGCAAGAGAAGAATTAATATCTGTTTTTCAAATTAATAAACTGAGGCCCTGGGTAATTAAATGTATGGCTAACATGTGCATTCCTAAAGTGTAGTCTAGCACTGATGCAAAGCACTAGAGCAGAGATCTAAAATCAAGTCCATAACTCCACAGCCCATGCTTTTTATAACTGCACTGTACTACCTCACATTGTCTGATGGAAATCTGTTGTTGATGTATGTTCCTCCAGTGACCATGGAATAAAATAAGTTTTTTATGATAAACATTTCCTTCTATTGAATTTTTCTTGGAATTTCCTTGGTCTGAAATCTTTAATGAGCACCATTTAATACCAAGTGTTGTCCCCAAGTTTAAAAACAGATGTGTTGCCTGCACAAATGACATATTCCCAAGTGAAGTGTCCTCAAATTTATTTGAACGCAATAAAGGGCGTGTTCCCTGCAATTCTGTTGTTTCCACTGTTAATAATGTATAAACCTAATGTAGTCTTCGACCCCTTCCTGAAACTCTCTTTTCCTCCTTATTCCTAGAATACCAAACAAGTCCTGTCTTTGACTCAGAGGTGTTTTAGTGTGACTTGCTTTTAATTTTTCCTAGAGTTTGCAGTTGATAGTGATAGTTTCTTCCTGTTTTATATGTTTCCCATTGCCATCTTATGGCCAGGTATTTCATATCCAAGAGAGAAACCACACTTCAGGGGCTTCAGAAACTGCCTCACATCCTGTCTCCCATGTTCTAGAATGGCGTGATCATTTCTACCTGTAAGCTATTGATTGACTTGCTGTTGACTTTTGACTCTAGATGTGTACTTTTTCCATAGTGAGCAAGGACTGAGGACATTGTCAGTTATAGTTGTAGCAAGTGCATGTTACAGGGTTGCTGTCAGTTAAGAGAGTATTAAGATAAATTGGACACTAAAAGATAGTACAAACACAGCCCCCCTTCCCCAACCCATAAGAGAGCTGGTTGGGTTTATGTATACTATCTGTCCCATCTGACGCCGCATCTCTGTGTTTCCTGCTAGGTGGTGGTAATCATTAGTTCCAGGGTGTTCTGCCATGTTGACGCAAGCTGCTTTAAGGCTTGTTAGGGGGTCCCTGCGCCAAACCCCCTGGGCAGAGTGGGGTCAGAGGGAACTTCGACTGGGTCAACTTGCTGCTTTCACAGCGCTTCACAAGGACACGCCACTTTCTGATAAAAGAAGGTTGGTGCCCATTACCTTCTTTATTGCTCCGGGAGCAAAAATCCTTTCCTTACTTGGTTTATTATCTGTTAATTCTTTGGACTTGTTGCTAAGGAAACAAGCCCTACTACCAAAACCAATAGTCCTTTCTCATTTTCTCTTTACTAAATTCAAATCCTCTCTCCTTAGTGCCTTGAGATGACTTGTGGATCTTGTTCTAGAACAGTGCTGAGAACAAAACCCTTGTTTGAATAAAGAATTTCTAATGCTGGTTATTTTCTCTTTTCTGTCTTTCTGGGTTTTGTTTGATCTTGAGATTAATTTGATTTCTGGTCTTAGTGTTATCCTTAGGATCTTTTTGGATTATCCTTAGAATGGTTTTTATTTAAGAGGAACACCTAGTTGAATGGAAAACCGGTATATCTTAATTCTAGGAAGAATTAGAGAACCTAGCTTAGGTATCTCCACCAACTGAATTACAGGACGATAGGCCTAGCACACTGTTTTGGTAAGATTGTCTTTACAGCTTTTATAGGACAGATTTTATCTAGGAAGAGTCGCTGTCTTTGAAACCATCAGAATCAGTTTTTCTTACTTAAAAGATGAGAGATGAAAATACCCAACTTTTTTTTGTTTTTTAGTTATTCTAAGCTCATATTGAAAATGAAGGATATGCCCTGAAGCCAAACAGTATGCAAGCATGACTTGGGATCTTTTGCCATGGTTCACTGTTGTAGAATATTTGATTATCATCAGTGGTTTGAAAGAGTGATCCATAAATTCTCTTTGAATAATGAGGATATCCCTGTTTACCCAATTCTGTTTTGTTTCTGGGTTCGGATAGCAAGTTAAGATCATAAGGAATACTGAGTTGTCCACATAGCTTTAGGTTTTGAGTTTCAGGTAACAAATATCAAGAGTTTGGGATAGCAAGGGATTTAACCAGAAATATATTCAAATCTGTATTGTTTCTGTCCTAGGTGCAGAGGGTGAAGGGTTAAGATAGTAAAGCATGCCTAGAATAGTTCACATTTAAGTGCTAATTAAATGCCAGGGTCATCCCTTTACAAACATTATCTCAATCCTCACAACAGCAGCAACTGTTGGGGGTTGTCTGTTCCATTTTACAGATGGGGTGAAGTTAAGTCACTTGCCCTAGGTTACATAATTGATAGACATGTCGGAAGTTAGTCCCAGGCAGTCTGACTACGACGATGATATGTTATCCCCTATACTATGCTGCTTTGTATGCTATTCTACTCTGTTGCCAAACTCAGGCTCCAGTGGGCAAAGTGACACCAGTGCTAAGAACCATTCTTGAAGAGATTATCTGTGGGTGTCTCCTTGAGCTCTGAAGAGCCAGCTGTCCCCAGCCCTGGCCTACCTCAGTCTTCAGGGATGGGTAGAGAGAGTTGGCAGATAGCTGGAGGTGTTGCCTTATCACATGTTAGATCTGATACTGTTGAACTTTATCTTCTATAGGAGATACCAAACAACTAAGATTCAGTCCCTAATCTAGTGAATTCCCTAACCTAGTTAGCTCAAGAAAAGCGTATTCTTTCATCCCTTAAGTTGCTGAAAAAACAGGAAAAAAAAAGCCTATCCTGCTAATTTTCTAGAAGACTTTTTTTCCTATTCTAAATATAAACTAATATTTAGGATATTCTTTATTCTGGTACATTTTGGTTTTAGTTGGGACCTGATGCCAAGGACCTGAGACTGGAAAGCAAAGACTGAGAATGATCTTTCACATCTTTTTCACATACTTTTTACATTGTCTCTTTCATGTATAGAGTTTCATGACTAAGAGACTATAGTTGGGGTGTGAAATTGGGGGTGTAGAAATGAGCAAGGGCATCTCCCCCAGGCTTTTCGTATTTTTGATATTGACTATGGGGCAGAACATAGCAGGGGGCTCTTCAGGCAGCTACCACATTGAATACTTTCATCTTCCCAACAGTGAGCTAAAGCGACGCCTGAAAGCTGAGAAGAAGGTGGCAGAGAAAGAGGCCAAGCAGAAGGAGCTCAGTGAGAAACAGCTAAGCCAGGCCACTGCTACTGCCACCAACCACACTGACAATGGTGTGGGTGTCGAGGAGGAGAGCCTGGACCCAAATGTGAGTCCCCTGGGCCACTGGCATGGGTGGGCACAAGAAAACTTATGATGAAACTTATGGCAATGCCTTAGGACCAGTGAGTGGGTCCTCGGTCACTGCCAGTGATAAGTAAAGGCCTGCCACTCCATCTGGTTAAAGGCACAGGCCGAGTGTTTTTTATATCACCCCCCAACAAGCATTTGGGAGAATCCAGTACTCCTAAGTGACTTGATCTTCTTTGGAACTAGCTGGGCCTTGTAGAGGCCCCAGAGAAAGTATCTCCCAGAAGATGGACTAGGGTTTACTTTAGACTGGGGTTGGCAAACTACATTCCATAGGCAAATTCTCCTCTCCACTCCCCCACTTAGTCCTCCTCTCCCTGGTTTTGTAAATAAAATTGTATTGGAATGTAGCCATGCTCATATGTTTACATATATCTAAGGCTGCTTTCTCACTGCAACAGCAGAGTTGAGAAGTTGCATCAGAAAAAAGTTTGCTGACCCCTGCTGTAGAATATTCCTTACTTACATCTCTAGGCCCCATGGGTCTGCCTCAGGGAAAAGTCTGATGTGTGGCCAAGGGTAGGAGAATAGTTAGGAAGATGAGTGACGCACCATGTAGATGTGGTCCACAAAAGTAGTAACAAGGCCACCAGTAAACTTATTTTAGGCAGAACTATGATTTTTCTTTTTGTTGACTTGTATTTTGGAATTCTGGCAATTATTTGCAGCTGTGGATCTGGTCACCCTGGTTATTTTAACTGCAAGTCTCACACCATAGTCAATCCTGTGATATCAAGGGTACAGAGGGCTCGATTAAAGAAAACCCCAGTGGATTGGGGCCACTCTGAGGCAGGTTAGTTCTCTGCTAGATAGGCCATTGGTCTTCTCAAGGGCTTTTTCTTTCTTTTTTTTTTTTTTTTTTTTTTGAGACAGAGTGTCACTCTTTTCACCCTGGTTATTTTAACTGCAAGTCTCACTCCATAGTCAATCCTGTGATATCAAGGGTACAGAGGGCTCGATTAAAGAAAACCCCAGTGGATT